TTTTTACTATAAATACCTCCTTCCCCAAAATTCTTTTTTTCATATCAATTGCTCTTCCAAGATTACAACTCTCTCAACTCTCTTTTATTATATCAATTATCGAGTTTTGACTCTCTTGTGCTGCAAAATATACAATATCAATTCAATTTTTACAATTTATTAGTTACAATTTTAATTCATCCAATTCTCAATTCTCACAATCTCACTATATTTATATTCATCTAGTCAAGATTTCATCATAAAAAATCACAGAAATGGATCAACGTTCATTTGTTGAGAGCTTGATCGATACAGGATGTGAGCCATTGCCACATCATGGAGAATCGCCTAGGACGCCGCAGAGTCAATTCCCAAATGAATTTGCCGGTCTAAATGACATACCGATACCTGAAGATATTCACATTCACAGTCAGGGAAGCCACACTCCAATTGATTTGGATGATATTAACGTTCCCGAAGCAAAACATGAAGATGAAGATCAGCAATTAAATATCCCAGATGTGAAGGGAAAGCGAAAGACCAAAAAACAAGCAAAATGTTGGGATCACTTTAAGTTGATTTCAATGGGAAAAGTCGTTGATGACCTTGCAGAATTTAAAGCAATATGTAAATACTGCCAACAAAGATTGGCATGACAAAAAGGAATTGGTACCACTCATCTCAACCGCCATTACAAATCATGTGCAGCCAGACATGGACTTCTTCCAGCTGGTCAAACACAATTACAATTTGGCAGTCTAGGCACCGGTTCTACAACTTCACCCCTATTTACGTGGGTATATTCGGAGGACGAGACTCGAACCGGAATGGTGAAATTTGTTGCCGCCACTGAGTTGCCTCTAGCTATTGCAGACAACTAACACTTTGTCTCGTTCGTGAAAGAATATCTACAACTCAGGTATATTGGGATAAGTCGAAACACTCTTCGTGCCGATACAATAAATTATTTCAATAATTCAAAACAACAATTAATTATGAATTTGCAACAATATGGGGATGTTATATCCTTAACTTCTGATATATGGGAAGAGATTAATAAAATAGCATATATAGCTGCAACCACACACTATATAGACCCACTTTGGTGCATGCATAAGAAAATTATTGCTATTAAAATTATTGAATTTCCTCACAATGCTAATAATATATATAATGCTATTATCAGTATTGTTAGAGAATATCATTGTGAGAGTAAAATTCGATCTTTTACTTTTGATAATGTTAGTGTTAATAAGGTAGTCGTCGATAAATTGTGTAGGACATTTCAACCTGATTTTGGTGGGTATTTGTTTCATATTCGTTGTGTGTGTTATATCTTGAATTTAATTGTTCAAGATGGTTTAAAACATATAAAGGATAAACTTCAAAGGATTAGGAATACATTAGTATATATTACGATCTCTAATAGTAGAAAACAATCATTTGAAGATTTTTGTGCCGAACTAGGGGTGATGACTGCTAAAACATTTGTTAGCGACGTAGGTCATAGATGGAACTCTACATACTTGTTATTAAAATCTTGTGAAGTTTTCGAAAATTTAATAACTGACTTTTATAATAATAGACATGTTAGAAGTGATGATGATGGTATGTTAAATGAATCCGATTGGATTTTAGTTTTGAAAGTTAAACGATTTTTGACATCTTTTTATGAGACCACAAAGATTTTATCCGGCGTTTATTATCCCACAAGCTGTATGGTGCTTGAACGCCTTTATATAATTGCAAAAACATTCCATAAATATAAAAATGATCCTACTTTTAGTGAAATTTTAATTGCTATGGAATTAAAGTTTAGAAAATATTGGAAAGAACTGCCTATATTATTTCGTTTAGTATGTGCAATGGACCCCCGATATAATATTTCGGGAACTAAATACGTAATTGATCAAATCAATAAAACTTTAATACTTGATACACCTATCACCTATAAGAATTTAGAGCAAACATTATGTGGAATGTATGATTTATATGCGGAAAGAATGGGTGCAAATGTTAGTCGGGTACCCTCTGCTGCACATACTCTTTCTGCTGAAATTGAAGAAGATGCTGCAAAAATAATGAATTTATTTCAGGGTATTAATACATTTAGATATGATGCAACTGCAATGTGTTCATCTAGTGCCATGTCGTCTACATCTGCATCTCATCAAACATCGGCCGAAACTCAAAATGCGATGCCTGCCGAATTAATTGATTATTTCAATCATAATATGCCAACAGACAGAACAATTAAAAAAATTTCAGAAGAAATAATTGAATTCTGGCAAAAGTATGAAAGACGTTGGCCAATTGTTTCTGTAATTGCGAAAGATCTATTGACACCTCCGGTTAGTACTGTCGCTTTGGAGGCTGCTTTTAGTGCAGGTAAAAGGGTTTTGACTGATGTCAGGAGTCGACTGAAAGAAGATATTTTGGAAGCGTTAATGCGTGTGAAGGATTGACAGGACGCTCATTTTCGACTACAAGATAAATACGCTGAAATTGCATGTTGTCAGGTAAGTGATATTTGATTTAATTATATTAATCAATTTTTTTTTATTTTTTAATCGTTAAATTTAATTTTCTTTAAAAAATTGTACACGTTACAATAAGTTGTTCGTATACAATTTTTAACTCCGTCTACTTAAAATTGATGTAGCCGGTCCCAAACCCGGATAAAGAAGGAGGGTTTACATTTTATTAACTTTAAAAAGAAATTAAAAAAATATTTTTTGTAAATGTATTTCAAAAAATAATTCGTTTTCATTATATAAATATTTTATACTTTATAAAAAGTATTACAAATTACAATATGATATAAATAAAAAAAATAAAAACTTGTTTTCGTTAAATTATTTGTATTTTTTAACACTTTTTATTTTTAAAACTCTATTCTTTATTAACTTTAAAAAGAAATCAAAAAAATATTTTTTTTGTAAATGTATTTCAAAAAATAATTCGTTTTCATTTTATAAATATTTTATACTTTATAAAAAGTATTACAAATTACAATATAATATAAATAAAAAAAAAAGTAAAAACTTGTTTTCATTAAATTATTTGTATTTTTTAACACTTTTTATTTTTTAAACTCTACCCTTTATTTTATATATATAAAAAAAAAGTCAAGCCCATGAGCCGAAACTCGGCTCGGACGAGCCACGAGCTCATGAGCCGAGCAGAGCTCGCCCAATTTCAACGAGTTGAGCCCGAGCTTCAACGAGCCACGAGCACAAGCTGAGCTCGTGGCATTAAGGGCCGAGCCGAGCCGGCTCGGTCCATTGCCAACCCTACACACACACACACACATATTCTCTCTCTCTCTCTCTCTCATTTATAATAGATTTTAGATTTTTATCTAGTTTTAACTAACACAAAAGTGGAATATATTAGCCCTTCGGGGCACAACTCAATTGGTGGATCAATCAACATTGTCTTGCTTCCAATGGCAGGGTGGAGAGTTCGATTCCTGGTGGGAACCTGCGGCCAAATATGTGGTATGGAGTAATCACTGTGGAGGATGATTTCTTGTGCGCAGAAGTGTACAGACAATGGGGGGAACCTGTGATCTAGTTGAAGCATAACCCGCGATTTACCCCCTCCAAGGTTTTAGGGGCAAGGGTCTTGAGGGTCCAGGATTTAGTCTGGTGTAAGCTGGATACCTGCATATAAAAAAAAATAATAAAAGAAAACAAAGTGGAATATATTAATGCTTAAAAAATATGATCTTTTCTATTCTGGAGTATTGCTGAAGGGTGAGTACTGGGACGATGTTTTGTTCTGCCAGTTAGATATGTCAACTTGTGATTGATGGGTGATGACTACATATGAAAAAAAAAAAAAAAAGATTGAACCCCAACCTTAAGGGCCCCCACTGACCCTGTCCTGGGCCATCGTGGAGGAGGTAAATCGCAGGATGTGCCTCCCAAGAGTCAGGGTGGAGAGCATATGGATAGGCCAAGGCTGTTAACCCATATGGTAACTCCCGCTTGCAACAAAGCCAAATCCACCTTGCGAGGAATCGAACTCTGCATACTGCCGCGCTGAGCCCTATCCGCCCTCCCCTTTGCCACTGGGAGATATGCCCTGGGGGCAACTACATATGAAATATATTCATAGGATGCTACTTAAGAAGGCTAGTTTGTGCCCCTTAGCGATTGGAGAGCACTTTTAATTAGGTCAAAAAATATCAAAATCATGAGACCATATCAAGGCAAATCAAATCAAATCAATATCAATTTAAAATCTTAGTAGTTATTACTCAATTAAATTGATACTAATCCGATATAATTATCTTGATTTTTATGCATGATTGACAAAAAACCATAATCAAATACATGCTGCTACAGTTATAATCATCATGTGAAAAGACTTGTTCCGGAAAATTTCCGAAATCCTACAAATCGATTCAATTTTGTATGCTATTCACCTGTTAAGGCCGCTCAAGAAATTTGCCTTTAAAATGGTAGATTTAAAGCCGCATAATCCTATATTAGTTACGATATAAACAATGGAGGATCACACTTAAAGTGTTGTTTCGAGATGACTTTTACCATCACAAAAACTTACTCTCGTTATATAGATAAGACTTCATCATTGTAAGTTGTAACAATTTATACTATGAGGGGCCTCTTTCCTAAAAGGCTAAAATCAATTATTACGATTTTTTAGCTTATAATTTGAGTTATATGCCAAAAGATATTTATTAATATTTAACTAACAGCACGGAAAGCCAAATTATAAAGTAAGTGCAACAAAAAATAATTATTTATTTCACCAAAAAATCAAAGATACAACAAAATAGTTTTGAATAAGTGAATTAAGTCCCATTAATTTTGCAATTTAAGCAAATCTTCCATGGAATTCTTGAAAAATAGTTTTCTAATTTTCTAATAAATTTGAAATTTGAAATTTTATTTCCTCAACCTATTTGGTTATAGTTGTTATACTTATATTTGGTTACCAAACTTTAGGGCCATTTTGGCATTTAAAAATTATGAGGGATATTTTATAAAATATTCAAAGCTGAGGCGGTTTATTGAAATATCTGGTTCTTGAAAAACCTGCAACCGAGTTCATATACACTTTACTCAATCGAGCCCATTTCTCCACAAACCATCTCTTTTCCTGATCGGAGCAAAGGTAAGAATTATTTAATTTCATTTCGAAAAGAAATTAGGTTAACTGATTAATTTATTAATTCTTCAGTTAACTACACTTTCCTGATCCTTGAATATACTACTTATGTTCATTTTACATATATATTTTTCTGTTATTATGTAACTTTTATACTGTTACGAGTTTTTCTAATTTAGTCTTTTTTTTTTTTGTTAAATTCTTAATTTGTGTTTGAACATCATTTTTCGTTGATGAACTGGGATTTTATTTTTGATTGTCTGAATCTGAAACCCTGGTAATCACTCTTCTGTTGTTGAGAATTAAGTTGACTATAGCTGAATTTTAATATATATTTTGAAACCCTTGTAACCTTCATTTTATGATTTTATGATTTTTTTGAATTATATATTCAAGAAGCAAGTATTATTTTGATGCTTTCTTTAATTTCTAGAAATAAGTTTATTGGAACATGTAATTAATCCATTATTTAATAAAAAATTTAATTGTAAGGAATTTAAGAATGTAATGAAATAATCCAAGTGCATTATAAATTTGATGTACTATAGAAACAAATTATTTTACTTCGTGAGAAAATAACAAAACCTTTTCCATCATGTTTTTCATTTCATTTCATGTAGGATATGCTTGATTAAGATTATTAAAGAGATTTAATCACCTATATTGATCAAATCGGCTCTAAGTTTGGAATAGATTAATAAACAGTGAATGCAATAATTGATTTTAGAAAAGCAGCTAATTTTACTCATAAGTGATTGCGTTTTGTTTATTGGATCTTGCCTACACGGAAGCCTTCTATTTAATTATGAACAAAAAACTGATTCTTAAATATCAAACACAACTACCCTATAAATCTTTTTGATCGTTACTCAATGATTCGAGGGGTTAAATGACCAAGTACTACTTTATGATGTTTAGAAGTAAGGAAACTTTGCTAATCTAACTTGAGAATTGGGATCCTTCATTTTATGGGTTGAAATTTGTTGGCTTTATTGATACTCAGTAACATAATGTGCTGAAAATATGAATTTTCTGCCATTTATTTAAGTTTATAAAGTGATTAATTGATTGTGCAGTTTAAGTTCTGTTTACTTCAACAGAAATGAGTCCCAGCGGTTACATAGCGGAAGTCACATGCCTATCTCCTAATGCAACTGAAAAGAATGTCCATGATTTCTTTGCTTTCTGTGGTGCGATTGAACATATTGATATAGTCAGGTACTGTCACTTGTACTATGACAGCATTACTTATATCTATTATTATAGAGCGTCCCTTTTTCTCCCCATCCTTCAAAGCCACCAGCGCCATTGTAGGGGCAGAGAGAATGAAAAGATTGGTAGAGTAATCTCTACATAATCTTTTGCTTCTTTGATGAATTCTAGGTTTGTATGGTATAGACAAAAGATTTTCCCACCTATGTAAGTTCCTTGGCTTGGACAGGGCATTTAGTTCGCGTAATCGTTGACCTCTTGCCAATTGATCTCTTTGTCACCCTAGAATGAATTGGGACCCTTGCTGGAGCGCTACCCTTCGTCCCGGCCATTGGTAGGACACAAATTGGGAGAATTTGTACCTCCTCCTCCTTCCCTTATTTCAGAAGAAATGGAGGAACAAAGATATTGAAGAATTGTCCATATGTAAACTTTGTTCCCAGGAGAAAAAGACCCGGGGGGGGGGGGTACTGTCTATCGTCTGCCTTTCAGATGATAAATATTTCTCAGAACATGGAATGAATCAGAATTTTTCTTCTATGATTGATTGGTAAATTATTCTGAAATTACTTTGAACTAGCAGAAGTTTCTTTCCTTTTTCCTCCACATGTATCAGATAATCTAGGATCCAAATTTTTCTAGGATATGAAATATTCATGAAGGAAACATGTTAATTATGTAAGATATTTCCAGAGTGGCTTCACAGTCCTTTCTTAGGGGTTGCAATTTTTATTCTCAAGGATCTATTTGAAAGATTCTCAACCTGCATGGGGGAGGATTAGCGGTATATCATATTATTAGTATTTTTGTTTTGTTGTTTACCTGTTGTTGAAGCATCGTTATTCCTAATTAGAATGATATTTGTGGGTGTTGAAATAAAACAGAGCTGGCGAATATGCTTCTACAGCATATGTAACATTCAAAAACCCACATGCTTTGGAAACTGCAGTCTTGCTCAGCGTAAGTGCTCCTCTTTTTAAAAAAGAGAATTGTGCCCTTCACTTTTTGTGGTCATCTATGAGCTTTATATGAAGTTGATACTCGTGTTCTATTGATTTGTTATCTAAATAGGGAGCTACGATTGTGGATCAACCTGTTTGCATATCTCGTTGGGGCAATTATGGAGATGACTATAACATTTGGAATCTAACGTCATGGAAGATTGAAGATGAAAGTGGTTCAAGTGTACGTTGCATCGTATTCAATTTATGTCATCACTTGGGTTCTAAACGATCTATCTGATTATTAACATTTGAAATTGTACATGTATTCCCTTTCTCGCTTTCTTTTAATGACACTAATTCATTACCACTTTAGCAGTACGCTCAAGGACAACGGCAGTATGTCCCCTCTGCTGGGGAAGCTGTGACCGTGGCTCAAGATGTAGTCAAAACTATGTTATCCAAAGGATATGTACTAGGAAAAGGTGCATTGGGGAAGGCAAAAGCCTTTGATGAATCTCATCAAGTGTCAGCAACTGCAGTGGCTAAGGTTGCCGAGTTGGGCGAGAGAATTGGTGTCACTGATAAGATCTGTACGGGGATTGAAACGGTTAAGTCCGTGGATCAGAGATACCATATTTCAGACACGACTAAATCAGCTGCATCGGCTGCTGGGAGAACTGCTTTTTCTGCTGCAAATGCCGTGGTTAATAGTAGTTATTTCTCCAAGGGAGCTCTTTGGATGTCCGGTGCTCTAAGTCGAGCCGCTCAAGCTGCCGCCGATTTGGGTAATCGGGGTACTAACAAATGAAGCTTTGGGGCTGACAAAGACGCAATCATGTTTTCTATGTGGTTGATATATATCTCTTGTACTTGTATACAATGTTTGGTTGGTTGTATTGGAAGGTACTGGACATTATTAAAAAAAATATTGAAAATCTCATCTAATATATCGCCTTCTAATGGCTAGTATTGAGTATCGAACGTGTCACAAAATAATTTTAGGATTGGGTAGACTTGGTATCAGTATAAACATTCCTCTCTATAAGAAGTCTGGCCTAATCTGCCTCGTGAGGATAGTTGTGTTTGATCATGTGGTATTTAAGTCCCACTTTGAGCTCTGACTTTATAAGAAGTGAATTTTTAGAAGAATGTGCAATGAATAATTTTGGATTTATATGTAAAATTATTTTATTAGGAAATTGTGTTGATTAAAAATGAATTTGAGTAAAAATGAGATTCGAAGAATGATGCTTATACATGGGTAACTTGTCGTGGATACACCAGACGAGTTTAAGGTTCTTGTTTGTTTGTTTATAGAATTGATTTCCTGTTTTCAATGAGGAAAATAAAATTTCTCGCTGTTGATGTAGCAAGAGAATTTTGATTATGGTTTTCTAAATTTATGATTTTTTTAGATGATCTTACAATTAAAGTTTTTTCTTGTCACGTCAATAATGATAAAGTTTTTAGGATCATAGTTGCCTATTTCTTGTCATGTGGTGGCAGCATGTAAGATATTTAGTGTCCGAGGTTAAACACTTGGATTAACTGACAGAGTGACAGTAGGATCATTTTCCGGGTTCGTGTCCGCCTAGGTTTGTCGCATGGAAAAATTTCATATCTGGCAATGGTCACAATTTTATCACGTGTCAGGTTAGTCTACGTGTATCAATAATTTTATTGGTTAGCTTTATGTTAAATAATTTCGATCGAGTTAGATCTATGTTGCAAATCTCACCAATTACATTACATGGTCACGCATAAGAATTTTCCTTTCGAGAACTCAACCCAATCCTATTATGACGTCAGACATAAAAAATCGCATGTCGGTGCATTCTCATAATTTAAATTAAAAGAATACTTACAATACACTATATCAAAAAAAGTAAGTGTGAAGTGGTTGATCATTTATCTTAACAATAGGAGCGGACAAAATTCCCATCAAATTGTTGCCTAAGCAAATCTATCTTGATCACGGTAGAGATCCATCGCTTAATCGGGTTTGAGATAGGGATGGGGATCATGATTCTGCACGGAACTTGTCCGCAAATTTTGAAAAAATAAAAAATGTAAAAAACTGCTCTCCATTTTTATTATAAAAATTAAAATAAATAAGTAAATAAACAAGTTTACCAAAAATAATTGTAAAAAAAAATGCTTATTATCATATTATGAAAGCCAATCCAGCATCCAACCTCGTAAGATCCTTTCGACTAGTTCTCCGTCGAACCGTCCAGTTTAAGCGAGTTCTAGCGGTTTAAATGCATGTCAGTCAATATTAACTGACCATTGGGTAAAAAATTCAGTTCACGATGTTTCCAATGAACCGGCTAGTCCCATCTAGGTCAATAGCACTGGTTGAAGACGTGGTAGAAAATATTCCTGCTATAGGACTCGTGACGATTTTGTTGGTCAATTTACATCTAAGAAGTCTGCTGAAGATGACGTATATTGAAGAAGCTAAGCAAAGACCATGGGCCTATTCGCAAGACGGAGTCAGGATCGAACTAGAAGTTGGGTTAATACATAATAAGCTGAGCTAATATGTAAAAAAAAATATAAATTTACACAAAACAAATTTGTTTACTGAAAAATATTTTTTTTAAGTGGACTGGAGAGGGGACGGGCTAGCCCAGCCTGGTCCCCCCTTAGATTTGCCCCTGCCTGTTCGGAAATGATTATAAGAATTGATTTTTTTATCACTAGAAAGAAAAGGAGGTCCCACCTATGAATAAAGAAGTAAAAACTGACGGCTGAATTAGTAAAATAACGATACAAAAATTAAATTTTTTACAAGTAAAAAATTGCTACCAAACAGGGGCCATATATTCAAATGGAATAATAAAGAATCAAATCTGGATCAATTGTCAATGGCTAGAAACTGAAATTCTATAATATGTCATTTATCTAATTAAGCCGTTGTATGAGCCCCATTCTTGAAAAAAAATTGCATTTTTGAATAGTGTATTGATGAAAAATATATAGTTAATAAATAAAGAAAAATTTTGAATTTACGTGTAATATTATTTTATTGAATAATGAGTGGTTGAAATAATATCTAAACACTATTTCAGAATGCATTTTTTCTTAAAGAATATGACTCAAACAAGGGCTAAACACATAAATGCTTAGTACGTTACCTTTATCCATGCTTTAAACCTCTTGCATTGAACGCAATTCGTACTTCCAAGTACTCTTCGATCTTCTTCGAGAACTTCAAAAATACTACAAGTTCGAATTTCACTTTTGCAATTCATTGAAATCTATTCCAATTGTGAGTGTAGAATTGTTATTATATTGAGCTTGAATTAAATTACTCACTAGAAAATTACTTGTGCCAGTGATCATTCCTATAAATTAGGTGACAAAATCCATGTATGAAAGGATAAAAATAGGCCCATTAATTAGTTGATTCTAATTTTCAAAACCAAGGTGTTTTGATTTTATGATTAATATCACTCTTTGCTACCTCAAATAACTCGAATTAATATTAACATTTATAGTCTGTTCAAGATTGAGACGGATATTTGGCTATCAATAACTTTTAACAGTATTAAATACTACATAAACGTCCAATAATGTTTATTATTATATCTTTACCACCAAATTCTAGATAAACCTTAACAAAGGTAATTCAACTTTATAAAAATAAAGTGCCCCACTTTATTTATTGGTTGCTAGAAATTAGTTTAATCACTTCATAAATTGAACATTTACGCGCTTAATAACTTAAATACTCAATTTATATTAATGACAATGATCAAGGTGCATTTTATTAATTGATCAAATATTAACTGCATTTATACAAATTTTCAAACAATATAAACAAATATTTATTTGATCAAAACATAATGTCAAAAAATAAATTTCAGCATATACAAATTAAAGCAATCTCAAGATTTCGCGGTACAAGGTCAAGAAGATACGTACTTACACTAAATCATTGTATGGATTAAAGCAAACTCTACAACCTTGGAACAACATAATCGACAACTACTTCACTAAGCAAACTTGAGTGGGAGACAAAATGAATGAATTCTATACATCAAAAATCAAGGTACAAATAGTATACTCATTATCTCTCTATAAGTTGATGATATTGTCTACATAGAAAATGATGAAAAGTTGAACGAGATGACTGATTACTAATGCACTACTTTTTTTAGATCGAGATACTCAATCCGAAGATGGGATATTCATTGCTCAAAAAAGTATACTACTAGCTTTATACACACACACACACACATATATATATATATATACACACACACACACACACACACACACATATATATATACATATATACATATATATATATACACACACACACACACACACACACACACACACACACACACACACATATATATATATCAAAATGGCAGGTTGCAAAAATGAAGACACACTTATGGACATCAACAAACCACTCAAGAAAGAGGACAACTCAATGTTTTGAAGCCTTATTATAAGTTTACTCTATCTCAATTTCAAGGTCAAACATAATGTATGCAACTAGCCTACTTTCAAGATTCACGTGGAGTCTAAGTCAAATTCAGTATGGAGCAACAAAGTGGATAGAGTTGTATGTAAGGAACAAAAAAATATGTAATATGGTATCGATCTATGCTGACCCAAGACTACCTAGATATTTCGATAGTGATTTGACACGATCGGTGGACGATACGAAAAGGACATCAAGCAATACATTTATATTAGGTTTCGGAATATTCTATTGGATGTCAAAGAAACAAGCAATTATTGTACATTTATCAATAGAAGCATAGAATATTTCAACAGTTGCGATGACAAGCCAAGCTATATGGCTAATGCGTATACTTAAAGACATGGGAGGCCTAACAAATGTAGTTATAGATATACTACGATTGAAAGCATGCATTAATAATAATGGCCAAAACAATATCATATTTTGAAGGAAAACTAAACATATTGGTATCAAGTATCACTTGATCAAAAAAACCGAAACAAATAAAGGGATAGAACTCAAACATTGCATGACTAAAGAATAGTTAGCAGACATATTCACGAATGCGTTATTAGGAGTAAAGTTTAAAGTACTATGAGACATGTTGGAGTTAATGAAACATGCTCAAGGGAGGAGTATTAATTTTTTTTCCATATATTTGGATCTCTCTAGATTTCCTTCGAGAGCAAGCATAAACAATACATAAAGTAATAAAAAAAATTAGAATTCTTTAGAAATTGTTTTGTGTGAATCGATCGCAAGATAATGACAATAATGAAATAAATAAGAACAAATTAAGAACACCACAATTTATGTGGAACCTAGTACGGGAAAAAATCATGGGTAAATGAGGAAAAATCTATTATAATCAATAGCAATTTTGTTTACAACTAGATCTTAATGCTCTCAATATATATATATATATATATATATATATCAATAACAAATACCAGCTAAGTTCAAGCAATGCTCAAACTTAGCAATAAGAAATGGTTTTGTTATCATATAAGCAGGATTTTCTTTGATATCAACCTTGCTCGCTACAATATCAGCACTAGCAATCACATCATGTATAAAAAATGGAGTAAATTGTATAACCGACTCATGTGTGCAAAGTGTCATTAATCCTTCTTAAGCAAGACTCTAGACCTTAATTTTGTGAGAAATGTTATACTAAAACATCTTTGTCAATAAGTTTATACCTCAACATATGAAAGTCAAACCAATAATAGCATATTAAAACTTATAAAAGAAGCTCATTTTGCATGTATATTATTCTTTGCACACACACATTACACACTTTCTAAATTTTTAAGCTCATCATTTTTCTCATCGATTTTTCACATCTTATATGCAAGCTCTTCTCTACTAAGTGATTAAGATGTTCCATGTAATGAGCTTTAGACTAGTTAATCCCAAGTCTGTTAACCATAGGCACTAAACTTTGAGAAATCCCTCAAGTTTACTTGCTCGAGTCAAACAGGCTTCAAAG